ATTGATGCAATCATTGGTGGATTCTTGTATGTGGCCTGATGGGGGATCAAACCCACAACCTTGGCATATTGGGACAACACTCTAAGCAACTGAGCAACCCAACCAGGGCATGGTGGTCTTTCAAACACAGAATTCAGACAGTGTCCAGCTCTCATCCCAGCCCTACTTATCATGCTGACTCTCCAACCCACACTCTTCAGCATGGCCCACAGGAATCTCATGGTCTCCCCATTCCTTACCTCTCCTCATCTCTTGCTGCTCCTCACCTGCATTGAGCTCCAGTCACCTCAGGCCTTTCTTTCAGGTGCTCAACATGCCAAGTTCCTCCCAACCTTAAGAACTTTGCATATATTGTTCCCTCTGCTTCCACAGTCTCTCCTCAGTTCACTGTGTGGCTCATGCTGTCACTTCCTCATAATGCTGTCCTTGATCAGCCTGACTCAATAAGCCCCCTGGTATCTTTCTATGTTTCTCACCCTGCTTTATTGTTTGTCATCCACTTACCACCACCTGGAACATGAAAATATATTTATTTGTTTACTTATTTACTGTCTTATTTCCAACTAGGATATAATATCTATGATTTAAGCAATCTGGGATCTCTGGTTTACAGTGGCCCTTCAAAATTTTTTCAAAAATAGATGAATTGAATTTTAAAACTCAAGAATGAGCCCTGGCCAGGTAGTTCAGTTGGTTAGAACATCATCCCTATATGCCAAGGTTGCAGGTTCTATTCCCAGTTAGGGCACATACAAGAGTCAATCAGTGAATACATAAATAAGTGGAGCAACAAATTGATATTTTTTCTCTCTTTCTCAAATTAATAAAAATTTTAAAAAAGAACGTTCAATGTCATGAACTGTTGTGGCTTTTGATATAAGAAATATTTTGGTATTTCTAGAGAACACTCTAGAAAGTGGTCAGGAAGCGTGGCTGATACCTCACCTGTCAAAGAGTCTTGTTCTCAGAGCCTAGAGCCACCGTGGGACAGAAAGTCCCCAGAGAAGCCCTTAGATGAATTCACAAGAAGATGAGAGAGAAACGGCCAAGAGGGGATGGATGGCTCAGAGCCAATCCCACCTGAAGTCATCAATGCTGGCCCAGCCCCAAGGTCTTTCTTGTCCACAGCTTATAAGTGGGGATTCATCCTGAGTGAGGAATCCCAGCCTGGATCTCTATCACTCACCTCCATCCCTTGGAGATCCAGCCTTCCACCAGCCCCACTCAGTGAAGGTGGCTTCACCTGCTGCTGGTGGGAGTGGCCAGGAGGCTCAGCAAGGTAGGTCTTGCTGCTCAACCTTCTAGTGCCTCCCATCTCACACCTGGGGTGACTTGAGACAGCAGAGCAGCCATTAAAACCTGCAGAATCACCAGCCATATTTGAACTCCAGCATGGCCACTACTAGCTATGAGACCTTGGGAAAATTGCTTAACCTCTCTGTGCCTTGGTTTTTCTATTTGTGAAATGGAATGATAAAACAGTTCCTGCCTTCTCAGGTGGCTCAGTTGGGTGGAGCGTCGTCCTGTACAGCAAAAGTCTGCAGGTTCGATTTCTGGTCAGGGCACATACAGGAGACAACCAATTGATGTTTCTCACTCTCTCTCTCTCTCTCTTAGCCTTTCTCTCTCTCTCTTGCCTTTCCTCTCTCTAAAATCAGTAAGCATATCATTGGGTGAGGATTAAAAAAACAGTTCTTGCCTTCAAGGGCAGTTGGGAGGATTGCATGATATGCATGAAAAGCACCCAGGCTTTCAGAAAGTGAGGTTTAAATTTTGGAGATTGCTCTGCTGATGTGAAACAAAAACCTCAAGACTAAGTCAGTGCAGCACCCTCGGTGCTATTGGCATTTTGGGGTCAGATTACTTTGCTGAGGGGCTGCCCTGTACACCATTGAATATTCAGCAGCAGCCCCGGGCTCTGCCCACTGGAAGCCAGGAGCATCCTCCCTGGTTGTAACAATAAAAAATGTCTCCAGACACTGCCACATACCCCCCAGTAAGGACACAGTTACTGCCGGTTGAGAACCACTACTCTGAGTGAGCTCCCCATGAGTGGAGGCGTGTGCATGAGGCTATGAGACTACAGGGCAGCAGTACTTTGGGAGACAAATAGGCTTTGGGGATGAGGGAGTTCCTGAAATCTCATTCTACCCGCAAGGTGATACTTCTGTGTCCCACATCAACCAGGCTCATTTCTCCCAGGGCTGGTGGCTCCAATCTGGGGACTCTGCTCCTCTCCATTATTTCCAGTTATGATGTTTGGGGTATTAACTTACATCCAGGAAGTTCTGAGAAACTCAGAATCAGCCCTTTGGAGACAATGATAAAGGTGCACTGTGTTTTATGTGCCAGGCACTATTCTGAGGACTACATTTGATCCCACTTTCATTGTGGGAAGTATCATCGTTATTTCTGTGCATTATAGATAAAGAAACCAAATTGCAAACAAAACAGAGACAGACTCAGATACAGAGAACAGACTGACAGCTGTAGGAGGGAAGGGAGATGTGGGCTAGGTGGAAAAGGTGAAGGGATTAGGCAAAGCAAAGCAAAACAAAACAAAACTCATAGATGCAGACAACAGCAGGGTGGTTACCAGAGGGAAGGGAATGGTGCAGGTGGAAGAAGATAAAGAGGGGATAAATGGAGATAGAAGGAGACCTGGGGTGGTGAACACACAATACAGTATACAGATGATGTACTCTAGAATTGTTCCCCCGAAACCTATAAAATTTTATTTACCAACGTCACCCCAATAAACTGAATTAAAAACAAAAACTATAAAAGAAAAGAGAAGGAACCAAAGCCCAGAGAGGTTAAGTAACTTACCTGAGGTCACACAGCTAGTAAGTGGCAGGGCTGGGGTCTGAACCCAAGCAGCCTCTCTCCTAGTCTGTGCTGTAAACCATGACACAAACTGCTTCTTGGTTGTGTCAGTGCTGGTGAATTTGAAATTTATTTTCTTGTGACAGGATCCTGCCATCCAACAAAAGCTGAGCTGATAATCCAGTAACAGTTTAATAACAAACACGGGACTGCCTCCAGCTGAAGGAAAGGGGCTAGATCCCCGCCTGGCAAGGTCTCCATGTCTTGGTGGCCCCCGAAGACTCTGTGGAATTGGGTGGAAATGCCTTTGCAAGCCCCTGAGTTTGCAGGTGAGAAAGCTGAAACAAAGTGGTACAATAATAATAACTAAGAGCCCTGATCAGGTGGCTCAACTGATTGGACCATCATCCTGTACGTAAAAAGGTTGCAGGTTTGATCCCTAGCCAGGGCACATACCTAGGCTATGGGTTGGATTCCTGGTCAGGGCATGTATGGGAGGCAACCAATCAATGTTTCTTTCTCACATTGATGTTTCCCTTCTCTCTCTCTCTCTCTCTCTCTCTCCACCCCTTCCCCAAATCAATTTTAACAAACGGATATCCTCTGATGAGGATTAAAATAAATAAATAAATGCAAGGGCTTATCAGGTCAGTGCATAACATCAGTCCTTTCCAAGTAATGCACACATAAATGCCGTATTTCTTTTTTTAAAGTAAATTTGGAAAAACACGAATGAGATGAGAAAATATATGTAGAGAAGGCAAGATGAGTTGGCCAAGGTGTGCAGAATTTGATTTCCTGCAAGCTGTGTTCTGTTGGAACACCATAATTCTTGATGGTGGTAACAGATGTTGCCACATTTCTTTTCATCAGCTCTTTGCAGAACATCAGTATACATTTCATCTCCTTCCTGAGTGCAACATCTGGCAAGTTGGGGGGGAGGTGTTGTTGTCACTCCAGACACACATTAAAATAATTCATAGCCCTGGCCAGGTAGCTCAATTGATTAGAGCATCTTCCTGCTATGTCCATATTGTGGGTTTGATCCCTGGCCAGGGTACATACAAGAATCAACCAAGTGGAAGAACAAATGAATGTATCTCTCTCTCCCTCTGTATCTCTTTCTCACTTAAATCAATCAATAAAAAATTAAGTTAAAGTAATTCACAGCCCTGGTCTGTGTGGTTCACTTGGTTGGAGTGTCATCCTGTAAATCAAAAGGTCATGGGTTTGATTCCCGGTCAGGGTATGTGCCTAGGCTGCAGGTTTGGTCTCCAGTCAGAGCCCGTGCAAGAGGCAACCAATCAATGTTTCTCTCTCACATTGATGTTTCTCTCTCTCTCTCTCTCTCTTTCCCTTCCCCTCTCTCTAAAATCAATAAGCGTATCCTTGGGTGAGGATAAAAAAATAATAATTCCCAACTGCACAATTAGCAATGTTCATCCATTTACCCTGTGAAACCGTCTCACGTGGGTACTTGTGTGATGCTGAGGGAAACCAGGTTACAATGTCTGTTCCCCAGGATCTTGTGGGGGATGAGAAGGGGACAAAGGGCATTAGCTATGTGGCTGTGTTGCTTATTTCTTTTACTGCAACATGGGAAGGCTCCACCTCCTGAGGAGGAGCAGAATCTGGTGATACAAGCAAGAGGGCTGAGGAGGCAGGAGGCTATTTCATTGCCCAGGGCTGCTATTGTTAAAACAACACACATGTGCTTTCTTGCAGGTTCAGAAACCCAAAGTCCAAAAAAGGATCTCACAGAGCTGAAAACAAGGGGTTGGCTGGCTGCGTCTTTTCCTGGAGGGTCTGAGAGAAGCTGTTCCCTTGCCTTTAAAAAACTTACTGATTTTGGAGAGAGAGAAAGAGAGAGGGGGGGAAAGGAAGGGAGAGAGAGAGATGGAGAGAGAGAGATTGATTTGTTGTTCTACTTATTTATGCACTGAGTGGTTGAATCTTGTATGTGCCCTGGCTGGGTATTGAACCAGTAAACTTTTGGTGCATGGGAAGTTGCTCCAATGAATTTAGCCACCTGACCAGGGTGTGTATGTGTGTTTAATGAACAATATTTGAGCTTCCTTCCAGCCTCCACTCATCCAGCTTCTTCCCCACTTCCTCCCAGGTCTTAAATACTGTTGGTTCTTCTCATGCGCTGCTACCGGAGCACCCTCCAGAACATGACCAACCTCACAGCGGTATCTGTCTTCCTCCTCCGGGGCTTCTCAGCTGTCCCTGAGTTACAGCTGCTCAGTGTGGTCGCTTTCCTTTTCCTTTACGTGGCTGCAATTCTGGGAAATATCTCCATTGTGGCTGCTGTGACCCTTGATGCCCACCTGCACATGCCCATGTACTTCTTCCTCAAGCACCTTTCCCTGGTGGACATCTGCTCCCTGTCCACCACCCTGCCCCGGGCCCTCGTGGCTGCCATGCTGGGCTCTGGGGACATTTCCCTCCTTGCATGCGCTTCCCAACTCTTTGCCTTTGTCAGCCTTGGGTCCACGGAGTGTTTTCTCATCACGTCCATGGCTTACGATCGTTGTCTGGCCATCTACAGGCCCCTGGTATACAGGGTAGCTATGAGCCACAGGGCCTGCGTGTCCCTGGTGGCAGTGGCCTGGGTTGGCGGGCTCCTTTTCTCCACCTTCCACACAGCCAACACCTTCTCCCTACCTTTCTGTGGCCCCCTTGTGATTGACCACTTTTTCTGTGACATCCCTCCAATCATGCGCCTAGCCTGTGCCAATGCGGATGCCCACGAGGCTGCTGGATTTGCAGTCAGCGGCTGTGTCATCATGAGCTGCTTTGCCCTCACTGTCTTATCCTATGTCCGCATCCTGGCCACAGTTGCTCGGATCCGCTCCGTGGCTGGCCGCTGGAAGGCCTTCTCCACATGCTCTTCCCACCTGGCCACCGTGATGCTGTTTTATGGCACTGGCAGCTCTGCCTACATGCAGCCCAGTGCCCACTCCTCCCCACTACAAGCACGCCTGGCTGCTGTCTTCTACTCCATCCTCACCCCCACCCTGAACCCACTCATCTACAGCCTGAGGAACAAGGACATGCAGGGGGCCCTGCGGAAGCTCTACCTGCAGGTGCCATTCTAGGACATGGGAGGGACTCAGGAATCCACCCTTATGGGATGCTCCCAGACAGGGCCTGAGTTGGCTTTCTAAAAATTACTTGTCCATATTAAAATACTGAGAGACTTGCCCTGACTGGGTAGCTTAGTTGGTTAGAGTGTTGTCCTGATACGCATGGTTGCAGGTTCAATTCCTGGTTAGGGCACATATAAGAATCAACCAGTAAATGTATAAATAAGTGGAAAAACAAATCACTGTTTCTTTCTTCCTTCCTCTCTCTCTAAAATCAATAAATAAAAAACTTAAAATATTGAGAGACTTCCCATAAAAATTGAGCATTCCAGATCTTCTTGACAAATCAAAAGATCTGGTAACAGGAGGGTCTGTGGTTGGGACTATTCCTCCTCCTCTTCATCACATCGCCATCCTGCCCACCTGGCTCTCTGAGGAGCATTCTTTCTTTGATTTAATTCAAACCTGTCTGTTTAACCTGGAAGGCTGAAGTGGACCAGGTGCCACAACCCTGGGCCCTGTACTCCCCTTATCAAGGGTCCCACTTGGAGGAGATCTGATTATCAAAGGCCTGGGCACTAGCCTGGACCAGAGCTTCCCGACTGGAGCTGTCAGTGTAAGGGTGAGCCTGGGCTGCTCCCTTCAGGTGGTTTTCATAAGTGTGTGCAAGTGTGGGCACGTGCACCTACCCACCTGCACTGCTAGGTTTCTCTGCATTTTCACGGAGAGAAGGTTCCCAGCTTCCACTAACATTTCAAGAGCATCTGTGGCCCTGGCTGGTGTGGCTCAGTGGACTGAGTGCCAGCCTGTGAACCAAAATGTTGCTGGTTCAATTCCTAGTTAAGGCACATGCCTGGGTTGTAGGCCAGGCCTCCAGTAGAGGGTGTACAAGAGGTAATGACACATTAATGTTTCTCCCTCTCTCGTCCTCTCTCTTAAATAAATGATCCTTAGAAAGAAAAGAATCCTTAAAAAATAAGAGTATCTGTGGCTCCCTAACTGTTTCTGGAAGGCTGGGGTTTGGTTGGCTTAGATGCGTGTGGTGGGGCAACACTGAAGTGACCCCACTCCTGGGATGCTGGCTTTTTATGAGAAATTTTTTAAAAAACCTACACAAGAAAACACACCATATGTAGAATAATGAAGGAAAATATGTGGTCTTATATGAAAACGACAAAAGGTCACTGATATAAAAGCTTGGATGCATGAAAGGACAAGAGCATACTTGTAGGTGCTAAGATTAACTATAACAATGTTAATTCTCTCAATAATTATCTAAAGGCTGTTTTTAATTGATAAACAAATTTGCTATAAGAATACACAAATATTCTAGAAGAATAACAGAAAAGTATACTTTTTTCATATAAAAATACATAAATATACTTTAAGGGACAATGACAGAAAATTCATTAAATACATAAAACCTCAACTACAGAGCTAGGACAGAATAGGGCAACAAACCAATGAAACAAAATAGATGATCCAGATACAGATCCCATACTAATTAATGAGGGGACAATTAACGATGGGGGATGGCAATTTTGATTCTTTATTCACACAGTACACCAAAATAAAATCAAGAATGTTTAAAGCACAATGAGACAAAATAATGAAAACTGCAAAATAAAACACTAATGTTTAGGAAAAAGTCAGATTTTGTAGGCTTTGAAAAGAAAACAGATATTTGAGCTATATAAAAATTAAAACCTTGTCAAAAATATAAAAAAAAATGCCAAACAGAAAGTATGAACAAAGTGAAGGGAAAAATTAATATCTTTATTATATAAAGAACTTGTTCAAATTGATGGGAAGAACAAATATACTTGCTTAGCAGTCTTAGAGGAAAAAGTTCAACCTCCTCCCGTGTGCTCATCTGCTCTGCCCCTTCTTCCCTGGAGGCGAGCAGGCAGGGGACTGGCTGCTCTCTGACAGCTGGCTCTGCCTGCAGCCCCACTGCCCGCTGCAAGAGACACATGCGTGCACTGCTGGCTGTGCACTGGAAACCCGACCAAACCCCTCAAGCCTGATTCCTATTAGGTGTGCATTGTTTGCCTAAAGAAAGAAAGGTTTTCTCATTTTGAAGTTCAACAGAATGGTCCTTGATGCTATTAAATAAAACTCAAGCTGTTCCCTTCAGGTAATCCTGCCATCAGATTGACAGTACTTTTATTTTGAGAAAAAATAAAAACAAAGAGGTGGCCTTTCCTCCAGCCCATTTCTCTACCCCTGTAGTTTCTACCCCCCAATAAAAACAGAAGACACCAGACTTTATTTATAAGTATTGATGTTGTAGGTCTAGGTGAAGAAAAAGTAAATGTTTTGCTGCTCTGTTTATTAAAAAAGAGAAAGAAAAGAAAATTTTCAACCTCCTTAACAATCAAATACATGCAATTAATTAAATTCCTTTTCCCCTATTCAATTAGTGAAAATGACAAATGCTCTTCCTACACAATGCCAGGAAGGCTGTGTGAACTCCCACTGCCTTGTGTTCCAACAGTGCAAACTGGTGTAATGTTTTCAAAGGGGCTTGAATATATATGCATCAAGAACTCCCCAATATTATACCCCTTCTGACCCAGAAATTCTTTCTTTGGTTAAATCTAACTTTAAGCACTAAAATGTTCCTTAAAGTATCATTTATAGTTAGGAAGTATCAGAACTAAATTAAACACTCAAATAGAGACAGAGTGCCACCTATACAAAGCTCTGGGTATACTTTGCAGTTATTCATGAGATGGTAATGACAGACAAGGGGTGATGAAGCAGTGTGTCAGCTATAAGGCAGATGCAAAAATAAGGTACTATTGCACATTGAATGACCATGGCTATATGAAAACTAAACACCTCTGATAAGTTATACAGTCCCATGACTAAAAGGGTGAAAAGGCATATACGTACCATGAAAACTACACCTCTCCTCACTACATTCTGGTAATTACTGTTTTTTAAAAAATTTTTATTTATTTATTTATTTTTAGAGAGAGGGGAATGGAGGGGCAAAGAGAGGGAGGGAAACATCAATGTGTGGTTGCTTCTCATGCACCCCCCACTGGGGAACTGGCCCACAACCCAGGCATGTGGGAATTGAACCTTTGGTTTGCAGTCTGGCACTCAATCCACTGAGCCACACCAGCCAGAGTATCTGGTAATTATTTTTAAATCATAACAGAACAAGCCAAAACATTAATGGTGTCTGTGCTGTATTTGGGGCTGGTGGTTGCAGAGAGCAGAGAAGATATCTTATGTCTTTCAATAAAACAGAAATTGTCTTTAATGAATCAAGTGTTACGTTAAAATGAAAAACAAACATTAATCCTTTGCAAGTGCAACAAAGGAAACTGAGTTGATGAGAATCAATAAGAACAAGCACAAAGTCACATACCTAAATAGGTAAAGGGCCTGGATTATACCCAGAGAAGTTTAAAGGCAGGTGGGGGAAATAATTCACTTGAAGCAAATAATCACTTTTTTTGCCTATCAAATAGGCAAGTTGGTTTAAGTGATAGATGTCCAAATACTGGAAAAGTTGTTCAAATGCTTATTTATACCAAGTATGACAAAGGCATTTCTATGCATATACAGACTTCACTCAAATGGTCTTGTCAGCCTGGAGTGCTGTGCGGAGACTCTTTTGGGGCGTCAGAGTGAACGTCAGAGGGTCACTCACTCAGGAGGGAGGATGGCTTGTCACCTACTTCACAACCCTGGCAACTGTTTACTGAGGGCTGCATACGGCATAACACCTCCAAAACCAAATTCAGGAGGATCTTTTGAGAGCCACAGACCTGTTTATAACATCTTAATGGGGCTGAGATTTGGTCTGAGGTTGGCCTGGGCCACACTCTCCCTTCTGTGCCAAGGGCACTTCTGCCTGTAAACATAAACACATTTCTGGGCTGGGACTCAAGTGTCTGAGACTATTAGAAAATTTATTAGGCTTTCTTGATTCCTAAAATTTTAATATGCTTAGTATTACTTGTTTAGTGAGGGAAGGAAGCCTAACAAAAACTATGCTAAAATTCTAACAAACTACTTCATCTGTGGCTCCTTCCAGGCCTGACTTCAGTCTGGGTTCACAGTGAAAATTCTTTAATTAATTCTTTAACTTGTCTAGTAATACCGCTTTTTGGAAACCTGTCCTAAGAAAATTATACTACAATGCTTCATGCTCTGTCCATCAAAACTGTACATAATGTGTCTTTTAGAAAATAAGTGAGAAAAAGAACTTCAAATTTGTGACATGTATATGAAAAATCCTTACATGTAGAAAATCTTATTTAATACAGAGAATACTGACGTGATTAAATGTGGCTGTATCTTGGTGTAACAGCTTTACAATTCTGTAGTTTATTAACTGTTACAAAGAAAATTTTAAAAAGTAAGTAAGCCCTGGCCAGGTGACTCAGTCAGTTGGAGCATCATCCCATAAATCAAAAGGCTGAGGGTTCGATCCCCCATGGGGGCATGTAAGGGAGGCAACCAATCAATGTTTCTCTCTCACACAGTTGTTTCTCTGTCTTTCTCTCCCCCTTCCTCTATCTCTAAAAACAATGAAAAAATGTCCTAAGGAGAGGATTTAAAAAAAGTAAATGTAAAGTATATGAAAACGCAGTAGGAGTGCTTACTATATACTAAGCACTGTTAGGCTTTTTCACACAGATGAGCTCCAGGCCTTTCAATGACTCCAGGGGAAGATGCTATTACCTCATTTCCTGGAAACCAAGGTTTAGTCATTTTCTCAAAAGGGGCTGAGATTTGGTCTGAGGTTGGCCTGGGCCACACTCTCCCTTCTGTGCCAAGGGCACTTCTGCCTGTAAACATAAACACATTTCTGGGCTGGGACTCAAGTGTCTGAGACTATTAGAAAATTTATTAGGCTTTCTTGATTCCTAAAATTTTAATATGCTTAGTATTACTTGTTTAGTGAGGGAAGGAAGCCTAACAAAAACTATGTTAAAATTCTAACAAACTACTTCATCTGTGGCTCCTTCCAGGCCTGACTTCAGTCTGGG